ATGGCTTGCCCACAGAATATGGTATTTTGTAAGGTGCCAAAAGGTCGGCACTCTTGTCTGTGGTCTGAGTACTGGTGCATCCATTATATGCAAATGGGCCAAATGAAGAATGCAACTTATTAAGGCAGCTGCCACATTAAGTGCCACTCAATATACACAACAGATCTGACTGGCTGGTTGACTGCCTGGCGTGGGTGGGATTGTGATTGGTCTGGGGTTTGAGGATTGAGGCCGCTGTCCCATGTGGCTTGGCGCCTCTCTTTCCGATGCCGATGCCGCTTCAATTTCAGTTTCTGTTTGATGTTAATGAAAGTTTCCGTCGTGCAAAAAAAGGCCAAAAGCATGGAAATCAGTGAAACAAATTGCAATCTGCTTTTTATCGCCCATCGCTGCATGACAAGCAGCGAATGGCTGCCGACTGCTGGCTGCCTCCTTGGGCCATCATCGATTGCCTTGGCTCGCTGCGTGTTTTTATCCTGCGCTCATTCCTTTCCCTTTCCTTCCCTTTCCCCCTTGCTATACGCTGGGCAGGCTATTGACTTGCTCATTATGGCCCAGTCTTGATGCTGACGGCTCTTACTCCTGCTTCTGCTCCTGCTCCTGCTCCTGCTCCTGCTGCGGACTGTCTGTCTCGGTGCTCGGTTTGCTTCGGTACGGTTCGCTTCACATGGCTTCGTTTCTTTTTCGATTCATTTTCAATTTGCTGCGAACGGCACAAAGCATAGCACTTTTCATTCCATATCCGTATCCGCATACGGAATACGCATCGTGGCAATCAGACTCAGAGACCATAAATTGTTAAAATATCTTAACGGATATTCAATTTCCCATGACTCCCCGGAATCGCCCCCCAAAATGCATTAAATTCATAACAAAAGCTAAGCCGCCTCAGCCCGACACTTCGCTCCTGCTAAAGATGACGGAACTGTTCGAGCTCGAGCATTCTATTATTAAAAATTCAAAGTCGTAATAGAATGGCAAACTTTCTCAGACGGTGGCTCCGGACATAATAATAGTATAGGGCAAAAAAGAAGAAATAATAGAGCCAGAACAGTCAAGGCAGGGACAGCGAGGGGACAACCGGCAGAACTATGAGCCATAGCTATGAAGAAACTGAAAAGCTGGCAAACTCGGAACTGAGAAACTAAGAGACTGCGAAACTGAGAAGTTGAGCGACTGAGAGAGACTCAACTATGCCCAAGTTGTCTGTCCAACTGTTTATTTTCACTAGAGTTCGCCTTCCACTGGCTTCAGCCCTATTACGCTTGGTGGCGCAACCCATTATCTGCATGGCTGGCGGGGGGATGGGTGGATGGGCTCGGGGCAGCAGACAGGAGGCAAGTTGTCAACCAATCTTGCAACAATAATCGCCTACGCCAGAGAGGCAACAGCAGCAGCAGCAGCAGCAACAGAAGGAGCATCACAGCAATGACAGAACTGAAATAGCAACTCGTAGATAAGGAAAAAAGCTCTACAGTCGCTATTCCGACAATTGAATACCCCCTGTATGTCCTTTTTAATTAAGAAAGATACCTTTGAATTGGAATTGGAAGGTCTTCTGTATTAGAGGTTGGGTCCTCTAAGACGACATGGACACGGCCAGTAAGTGCTGAGTATCATCTGTTTAACGCACCATTTTTGTCCACGAATACTTCGTGTATACCCCTGTTGTACCCTATGTGTACGGGGCGTATGACCAGAAAACAATAAGACTTTAGGCTGACTTTCATTCTGCCACCACCACTAATGCACTGCGACTTTTGCAACGTTTCCCCGAAAAAAAAGAGAGAAAGGTCTTGAAAGGAGCAAAGGCTGTGCATATTGGCTGAGCGCGAGCCAAGGATCTCTTTTGAATTTCAAGTGGCCCGGCACAAAGGCGGGATTACTTTCCTTTGTGTTTGGCCAGAGAGAACCAGAGGTGGCAAAGGAGTGGCTGAAGAGAGTGCATATGACATAGCTGGGATACCAGCAAGAGAGAGCGGAAGAAGCCAACTTCCTGGGTGAGATTACTTATGAAACTTAATTGCATTTGAAGATTTTTATCCATGGCCAACTTGCAGGTTTAATAAACTCCTCGATTGGCTCTTAAAATGGCAGCCATTGTCTTTCCCCCAAGAGACACAAACATGGCAGCCAGAGATAGTGTGCTTGGCATATGTAGATTTCCTGCTAATTAAAATTAGCATACATATGATTCCCTCTCCCCGGATGAGCGTGAAAGGGAGGGTAGGGTCTGGTGTGGTTCGTTTGCTCCACAGTCACATTATCTGGCTTCCGCCCCAAGAAGACGGGGAAAAACTACGCGCCGAGAGCTGATTAAAACCGAAGGCTAACAAGCGTTCCACATCCACAATCCCCATATGGCACCCGGCGACCCCGTTCCAACGGGGTCCCCACTTCTGCCATTTGCTGCTGTGCCATTTCGGGCACCGACTTAAAGCCGTAAAAATTTATTATATGTAACTTTTTCTGAGCTGTAGAGCTCAAAAGGCATTACGCCTTTTAATTAAATAGCTGAAACGTGTATCAGACCTAAAATAAAATGGAAAATATTAAATAACTTACATATATGTATGTATATACTGTATGTATTTAAATTGAACATCCCTCGAGCCCGGAAAAGAAGAAGGGTCGATTACATGGTTTTATATTAATTACGATAATTATGTGCAAGCGTTGGCTGCTAGCGTTTTAATTGCTCATACGCCGCGTTGCACATTTAATATTAAAAATGCAAGGCAACGAATAGCTGAAGGACACGAAAACAGCGCTAATTTCATAATATAAAAATTAACAATAATACAAATTAACATAAAAGCACAAGCTCCCATAGATCCCCAAGAATCAGTAAAGGCATACATACATTATCGGAGCTTCAATTCCACTTGGCTTGTTTTTGGAGGATGCATTGTCCATGGCCAAGTCGAGTGGAGTCTGAGTCCGGTTCGGAGCCCTTTCTTAATTGCCGGAAATGCAAATGGGAGAGGCAGTGGCAGAGGGGCAGAATGTGGGAGGCAGCCATTTCGACCATAAATGATTTCCATTTTAAATGCGTGGGAAATGCTTTTCCTTTCTCCATTTATTTACTTTGGAGGTGAGCTGGCTTCTTTTTCGGGACCACTTTGTACGCAATTTCCTTTCCTCTCTCTTTGCCACTTTCCGTACCCTTGTAAAGGGTATTACGATTTCGACAAGATGTTCTGTAACGCTACAGATTTTTTTGTTGAAATCGGACTAATCGCAATCGGTTATTGTATTAATTAAGCAATAAATCTGTTAGATGAGATGGATTTTAAATACATATTACTTCCGTTGAATGGATGGATCGGTAAGGGTATCTTAAGCTTCGGTCAGTTAGGACAGCTCTTGTTCTTCCTTTTTTGGGATGATTGCTAGTCTTCACTCCAAATTTGATTTCATTCGCAAGACGCTCTTAGGTTAAATGGTGCAGAAACTCCTGTTGACTGTCCGAACAGCCGCCGACCCCAAGTAACATCTCGGAATGAATTTAAAAGCCACTTCCCGGGGCTCAACTCACTCAAGGAGCAGGGACACCCCCCCTCTTCATTCGTTTGTTGTCGGTCTATAAATAAATGTCACGAGTCTTACATTTCGATCCGAATGCCCTACGTACGCGTATCCTGTCAATTTGTATGTTCTCTGGCGCATTTGCATAACAAAATTGCCATGCATCTCTCATCCAGCTCTGATTTTTTCAAATATACGCTTTGAACTTTGCAGGAAACACCATCGCCATCGGAATCGAAGTCGGAGTCGGAGTCGAAGTCGCATTCAGTGCGCGTGCGGAGATGGGGTCGCAGTCAGTTATCCATTTGGAGCTGGGGGAGTTTTGACTGCAGAATGTCAACAAAATAAATGCATAAATAAGGAGATCAGCGTGTCAGGGCATGGCCCTAGTACTTGCCCCTCAAAGCGGATTCAATATAACGAGAAGATGAAAAATGTCAGAGCTTTGCATTATTAAAGTTCTGCTTGGCTGGCGCCGGCACTGGCACTGGCAGTTGGCAACTTTTTCCGTGCTGATAAATGGCCCCCAGCTCTCCAAAAGAAAACTATTCCATCTTACTCCGGGTGTGAACATCCTTCAATTGAAATATATCTCCCTTTCTAAGTATACACATGTGGATGTGCATGTGGCTTTGGCTTTGGAAGCGAGTGGGTGTGTATGTGCATGACTAGGCAAAGCTCATGCAGCCAGTGTAGCATACTTTTCAGGGCCGATAGGGACTGGGCGAGGGCGGGAATAAAACCATCCCTCAGAGTCGATTACTTAGAATCGGCTCGGATTGAGTTCTTACTGGCAATTTAATTAATTACTCCATGCTCATGAAGTCTTCCTCCCGCTATGCTCTTAAAATAAAACTCCCAAAGATTTATTCCGTTGTTTTTTTCTGTTTTTTTGTCGAGTTTTTTCTTTCACATCAATTTATTTATTGTAAAATAGGGCCGTGCCTTCTGTTTTCTGTTTCCAATTCGAGTTTCTTAATGTACAGGACATAATGTTAATGTATACCATACATATGTATATAATATAGTTCATAACTTATGTTCTAAATGCAAGTTTTAGCTCGTATGGTTCGCCCTTCTTTCACTTCGTTTGTTTGGTTTTTTGGTATATGCAAAACTGCAGAAAATAGTTTCTTGTTTTTTTGTTTTGTTTTGTTTTGTTTTTGTTTTTTGTTTTGTTTGTGTGTATAAATTTGCATACTTTCGTAGGTGTTTCGGTAACTATTTCTGACTTGATCTCTTTGGCATGCGACTCCGTTGGTTTGGGGGGTGGTTCGGGGGCTATAACTCTGAAGCAAACACTTAGAAAGCATTAATGGGGATCCACATATGGTATATAGACCCAACATTATACATATGATACAACAATTACAATTAAAAGTACAGTTACCAATGCTATATATAGATATATGTATATGAATATATATATATATATATATATATATATATATATATATATGTACTATGTATGACTGATATGGGGGCCCTAAGCTAGATCCTAAAACTGCTGCTGAAAGTACATGTTTTGCATTTCCATTTCTAGTATATTTATTATTTGTCTGAGATGAGCCTTAACTAGAGTAGATCGATAGCTGATGCTCTTAATGGTTATAACTAAGTTAGTGGCGATTATGTCTAGACATTCACTCGGCTTCTTCTCATATGATATTCCCGCACTCTACTCTCTACCTCTCTCTCCTTTTAGAGCTTCGTGGGACTTAAGCCTCTATGAGATCTGCTTGAAAGACCAAAGAATTGAATATTTATACGGTTTGCTTGGGTTGACGACTGATGGACCGACATTTTGACTACGGATACGTCTAGGGTAAGCTCCATTCGACAGATTAATGCTACAACTTAGGGCTGATCGACTATGTACAAGGACTCCACGTCCACTTTACACTAACATAATTCGGATTAGGATTAGGGATCTTTTAGAGCTCCAATTCCATTTCCGCCTCCGCCTCCGTCTCCGCTTCGGACTCTCACTCCCACTCCCACAAACGATCAGTGCACTCCCAACTATAGTAGGCCTGGCTCTGGTGGTTCACTGTAGCCGTTCCCGGTTCCCGTTAGCCCGGTTCACGGGTGGGGGGGTGTTACAGCTCACTTACGCCTGAGCGGCGGCAATGAACTGCACCACAGTACTGGGCGTACTGGTGGATGCCGTCAATGCCACCGACGCCTGAGCCTCTGGGATTGTGGTTGAGGTTGCACTTGTCGCGGGCGCCGGGCCCGGGCCGCTCGTTCCTGCCTGGCACTCGGCGGCGGGTAGTCGCTTCACCAGCATCCGGCTGGACTTGACCGCTATCCATTCGTTGCGAGCGGCGTCGAACCAAGTCAGCCCCAGATTGTAGCGCCCATTCAGATTGGCGTGCTGGCAATGAGAGAACCACCAGCCCCCCTCATAGTTGGCAGCGCAGTGCGTCTGTGAGATGTCGCGGTCGTCGTCGATGGCCGAGAACTGCATGCCCTGCTGGTAGTTGAGCGCATCGGAGGCGTTCCCGCTGTACTCCCCGATCTGCAGGCGGAAGCCATCGGCCCGCGACGAGATGTAGAATCGGGCATACTCGGCCACCCACACGTTGTCGTAGATGTCCTGCATGTGCACCCGCAGTCGGCTGCAGTTGTCCAGCGTGAGGTGGTGCAGCTGCTCGTTGCCGATCCAGAACTCGCCACCGGGGGTCCCGAAGCCGTGGGCGTAGTCCGCCCACGTGCGGTTGAAGTCGGCACTGCCGTCGAAGCGACGCTGCACCGTGGTCCATCCGTCGGCGGTGCAGTGCGACATCAGGGGATGGTGCTGGCCGGCGGGCGCAATCAGGTGGAGGCCATCCGCCTGGGTGTGCACCTCGCTGCAGTCGTGGGGCAGCTTATTGATGATGGCCTCGTACTGTGCCTCGACGTTCTCCAGCTCGCTCACGAGGGTCTCCGCCAGGGCCGAGTCGATGCTGGCCTCCTGCTGCGTCTGCTGCTGCTGCTGGAGCTGATGGTGCGGACGCTTGTGGGGCTTGTTCAGGTGTGACAGCTGCAGAAGAGACAAGACGAGCAGAGAGAGAGAGAGAGGTATATGTAGAGTGTGTGCATGGGAAGGCGGTCAATGTCCGTCTGAGAGATCCGGAGGAGGAGCAGGACTTACCTTATTCTTCAGTTCATCGTTCACCAGCGACTGCAGCCTGTCCACATTCGTCTGCAGACTCTCCACCGTGCTCACGAGCTTCCGTATGCCCTCACGCTCGTCCTGCAGCACGCTCACGCTGACGGCCATGGCCTGTAGGGAGCGGGCCGCATTCTTGCCCTCCTCCCGCACCAGGCTCTGCTCGGAGGTGATCTGGGCGTTGGCGAACTCCAGCTTGGAGATCTCGTGCCGCAGCTCCGGTATGCTCTTGTCCATCTTAGTCTGCAGCCCCTCCACGTCCTCGAGCAGCTCCAGCATGGAGGTGTGCAGCTTGTCCAGCGAGGCGATCTGGCTGCTCAAATTGAAGTTGGCGTTGGCGATGCGGTGCTGCTCCACCTCCAGACTGCGCACCCGCTCATCGATGTGGTGGAAGCGCAGCTCGTTCACCTGCCGCCGGAGTCCGCGATGGGCCTGCTGCAGGGCGTGGATCTGCTGGCTCTGGAACCGGCAGTGGCGGCGTTTGTGGTCGGCCAGAGTGACGCTGGAGCTGGAGCTGGAACTGGAGCCAGAGAGCTGTAACGGATAGAGAATGCGTATGGAGATTAGGAGCTTGAAATCCCGAAATGGTTTTTAGTTTATCTCTTTTGTTGTCTGGGGAGGCGCTAGGGATTGGGCGTGTTTGTGTGTGCGGAGGCGTCGCTGGCGGGGATTATGTGCTGGGAATTGAATGCTAAATCCATTTATTATAAATGCATTTCATAACCAGGCACCAGCAGCGGTTGCCTGACAGCAGGTGGGCTTGGGTTACGTTTTGGATGAGGCAGCAGGATGGCGACTGAAAAGCTTGCAACAATAATGTCAGCCCCGTCCCCGTCCCCGTCCCCAGCCACAGCAAAAGCGTGTAAGTCCCTGAAGCTGCTGCTGCTGCTCCTCTGCGGAAAAAAGAAGCTGCATAAATTTCCACATACTCGTACCCGCAATACGAGTATGCATAGAAATAATTTCGCAGAGTGACAGCCTCGCGAGCAGCTGTAAACTAAGGTAATGCCATTTGGGTCACATTCTACCATCCTACCATCTCCGAGTATCTGCGACTGAGTGTCTGCGACTGAGTATCTGCGAGTGCAGTGAATGGATTTGCGTGGCCGTGATATGTATCTGTCTCACTCGTTTCGTTCTGCTTTCCTTTCATTAGATGGTTGCTTTTCCCCGCTCAATGGACGGCCATGATTAATAGAAAAGTCTCTCGTAATTGACTAATAAAGGACGACGCTGCTGGGGACAAAAACCGACTGTAAGTGTGCTGCTAATGAATGCAATGAATGTGTCAACCCCGGAGGGGTCCTATCTGAGCCAGAATTATGGTATATGTGGGGTGTCTGCTTTAAAAGGGTCGAAATCAAAAGAAAAACGAGTTCCTTTTCGCTTCTCCATTCAAGGATTTCCTCTGCTTTGACTTTGAAGATTATTTTCATGAAGGGTTTTCTCTGGGCCACCAATACGTACAAAAAAAATTCGCATTTCTCTTCTTTATATTTTATACGTGAAAAAAGTGAAATTCCGGAAATATGAGCTTTTTCTGACTCCAAATGACTTTCTGACTGGAGAAGGAGCTCCACTGAAAGGAATTCTTTAATCAGAGAAAAGAGATTTCCAATATGAGAGAAAATAACTTTCTTCACTTGGAAGCCTTTTCTCGACAGAAAATTACTGGCACTCGCTTATCCTCCTCTTCATATTTTAATTAACAATAAATCTGTGCAAAACCCTTAATCAAGCAAATGGCATTCATACCCTTTAAATTGGGGCACTGTTTGACTTTTCCCGAAAGATATACAATGCCGGACTTTTAACACACATTTTATTTTCCGTAATTTGAAGGCATTTCTCTCCTCGAATTCAATTAGTCGCCGAGGCAAAAAAAATAAAACGAACAGAAAGCTAACGAAAAATATGGAAAATATGTACGAATTCATGAATATTTATGCCAAAGTTGCGTTTGTGCCTCATCGGGGTTCGAACGATTCGGGGCAGCACTGGAACGGGCGACCACATGGCTGCCACTCGCACTCCAGACCGTGGGGCTTCTTCTCACTCTCCCTCCCTCCACCCCTCCCTCCCTCGCTCCTTCTTTCTGTGTTTGCTTTGCCCTCACGCACGTGCCGCAGAGTGGTGGAGCAGCGGTGCTGCACTCGCTCTGGGATGTGGGACGTGGAAGCGACGTTGTTTTATGCGAAAGGTCACGAACGCAGCTAATACGACACGTTCGCGTTTTATATGAACTCTGGACGAGACGGGAAGTGGCCATCAAAAAAGGAGAAATCCCCAATATACATATACATACATATATACCACATACATATACATATACACGTATAGATGTCCGTGTCGGTGAGGTGGCATATAAATTCCGGCCATCAGCGCTATAATTAAATGTGATTTATGCAGCTCAAATTTCTCGCAAGGAGACAGGTTGTAAGCCCCGAGACTAGGAAATGATTTCTTTTCGCGATGGCTCGCCGATGGTCGCGTTAATTGAAATCGAAATTGAAGCATAAATGTTTTAAATGGAAAGGGGGTGAGTGGCAAGAGTTGTGGGCGGGAGGAGCAGTCAACTAATTAATTTCCAGGCGCACACACAAAGCGAGGATGAGGGCGAGTGGTTAGAGCATGCCAGATCCCCAGCTCCTTTCGTGGGTTTGTTCAAGGATTAAAAGTGAAAATTTTACATGCTGTACTTAAGTGAAAGCTAACAAGGATTTGCTATTAGCGTGACAGCTATTCCAGTGGGGCTGTTGGGGGGCGGGGGGCGGGGGGCGGTATATGTGCATTGCAAAAGGAAAAAGAGGAAAAATCTGCTCATGCTGCTCCGCCTTCAGACTCTGCTTCGGCTACGGTTTCGGCTTCTGCTCTACGGCGAATTGTCGTAAAAATTTAATAGGACTTTTGTGCGATGCTTGAAAAAGTTACGCTCGGTCGAGGAGGAGAGAAGGTGGAGCAGTTCTAGGGAAGCGGGTGCCACAAAATGCCATTAGGTTAATGCGCATTTGGGGGCCCGGTGCCAGGACGACCTCAACCTCCAGCCCGAGCCCGAGGACGAGCCCGAACCCGAACCCGACCTCAAAGGCAACGTCAACGACAACCTTATCCTTGGCCAAAAAAAAATGGCAGACGTGTGCATAATTTTCCAACTAGAATTATTCCCAGAAATATATTTCGCCAAAAAGCACATTTAAATTTTTTGCGTAAAATACAAAGAGCACTCGCACTCTCAATGCAAAAAACTCTTTAGAAATTGAAAAGTATTTCGAGTCATGGAGATCCCCCGCTGGGATCATATTTCCATTCAGCCAGAACCGAACCCCCAAACACCAAGGCCCCCACCCACTCGAATCGAGTCCCAAGTGCATGCCAAAAGTTTCAATAAAGATAATTCGACTCATGAAATAAATATCAAGTATGTACAGCGTAGGTGTACATACATGTGTTGGGGGAGGGGGGACAGAAGCAGGAGCAGGGGCAGGGGCAGGGGGCACCTTAGGAGCGCAGCAACAACCTCTTGAACAATCAAACAAATTGCCAACAGCAGCAGCACGAGGAGCAGAGGAAACAGAAGCAGAAACAGAAACAATAGAGGCTTCAGCCAGTGACAGGACGGCTACACTGAGAGAAAATAGCACCAATTGGCACCAAGTTTCAGTTGCAAATGAGAGGTCTGCAAAAATCAAGCAATGAGGAATTGAGGATATAAACAAAATAGAGCTTATTGGAATATTTCAATGTTGGCTTTCCTTAGAACCTGCGCTGAATCTGAGAACAGGTTACATATTTGTTCGCAGTGTAGCGAAGGGGGAGAGCAGGGAACGTATCATGAAACAAAAGCAAAACAAATATCAACATAAATAAGGTAAAAATGCCCGAGAGCGGAGTGTGCGGGGGGAGCAAACGCCGCATGCCTGTCGCCTGGAACCGAAACCGGATTCTCCGTGTCTCAGGCCTGCCATGGGGATCCTTTTGACTCACTCCGGTCCTGCTGGTGCTTCTGGATGCTGCTGCTACTAATATATATATACACATGTCTGTCTGTCTGCCGGCCTGGCATTTGTTTGCCTTGCTAATTTAACAGCAAGTCCCTCAGACGAGCAGGAGCATGTACCAGATTCTATTCTTTCCGACTCCTTGTGGCAGTTATGGTAGCATCAATAACCAATGATAAACATTTGCGTTTTTTTCGGTTTCCTCCCTTGCCCCACAGACTCCCTGGCTATCTCGCCAACTGTTGCCAGTGACAGCTTTCATCAAAGCGATTTGTTATATAACATATGTACATGGATGTATATGGAAATAGCCGTGTGTATGTGCTTAGACATATCTTTGACTGAAATTTGCAATTAGAGTTGTCAGATTATAGTCAATGCCATGCTGTCACCGGCAGATGTGTCCCTTGTTCGCGAGGCGTCGACTCCTGGCCAGGAGAATCGATTAGAGCTCAAACGGCATCAGCTCTAATGGCTAAATGGGTGCCGGGTTACGAGGTCGAGAGCTCCCAGAGATTGGGCTACCTCTCAGAGAAGTTGACTGCTATCGAAAGAGCAACCACAGACAATTCGAAGGGAATTTCATTTAATTAATTATGTATTAGATTGCTTCATAATCTGGCCCTTGGGTTACGACTGAAAGTTCCCTTTAATCTGCCGAGCTTTGGGTGCTTTCATCTTTTCAGCCACACACTTTCTGCCACTTATTGTTATTTCTATTATTTATGGCGCTTTTCTATTTATTTTCTCTTAACATCTGACTGTGCCGCCCTAATCCAAAAAGGGTCTCTCCAGGCTTTGCATATTTTTCATAATTTGTTCCCTTCCGTAGTTTCTCTGGCTTCTCTGTCTGCCACATTTTCCATGTAATCAAATAAAGAAAAGTTGATTAAATTTAACCAGACACACAACGAAATTGTAGCTTTTTCCCCAGCCACCTGAGCAATTTTATTGTTTAGCATTATTTTTATTTATTTTTTGTTGGTTCTCCTTGAGCTGCTTTCGGTTCTGCAGCTGCCATCCCATCCCATCGCATCGCATCCCATCGCATCCTCTTCTCTGGTTTCGTTTCTCTGTTCTTTGTGAGCTGTTGCCTGCTCTTTGTTCTAATTTAACCTAATTTCTGCTTTGTTGCGCTTCTATAATAACAGTTTCCAAAAAAATTTCTCGTGGTCCTTGGCTGTGTCTTGTGGGAAAGTTTTAGGAACAGGTTTCGATGGTCGGGTCCTGCTCACCTCCACCGATATCGCTTTTGTTTCTGTTTTTTTCTGTCAGTTTGTGGGACAAAATAAAGCAGACAAAAAGCGAAGCTATTGATACCCTTTTATGTCCATTTATTTGTGCGGTAGATAAATGATATTGTAATATAATTGCAGTCCTTATGGGTGCAGAGAGTGTCCTTCAAACACCTTTCGCTGGGCATACCCTTGTAAGGAAAAGATCACATTGTGCTGAAGCATCGCTCACATCCCATCACCAGGGATGCTGGGGGAAAAAGGAGGCAAGGCAGCGAGGGAGAGAACTGATTATCGGGGCATTTGAGAGCATCTGCCGTTGCTGCTTTTCCTCCTCCCAGTCTCTCTCTCTCTCTCTGTCTGTCCTTCATTTTTTGCTACTCCCTGTCCTTCTTCTTCTGTCGGCTGCCAAAAGTTGGTAAGACAAAAGACGGCAACAACAAGAGTCGCCCCTCTGAAGCCAGTTTCTGGAGCAGCTGGCCGCTGGACCACTTGCCACTGGACCAGCGGGACCCCACGGTCCCTCATATATAGCCCCCCTCCACTCGCTGTTTCCCCCTCCCGCCCTCTGTGTTATCCCTGCGTTTCCATTGAAGGCGATTAAAAGGTGATTTCCTGCTTTTTGTTTTGCAATTTTCAGCAATTTCGTTTTATATTTTGGCAAAGGTTCCGGCCCCCACCCTATTAATGATACACATACACATCCACATCCACACACATACACATGTAGGCCATGTGAACAGCCGCATTGATGCGTGCGTGTGCGCTGAAGGTCCGACGAAAGCCGCTTAAGCTGCCTGGCTGAACATTTAATCCCCCATCGAATATACCTCGTGCTGGAGGAGATCCAGGGTATATGGATTTCGATTTGATGCGTCCTTTTGGCGCGTTGTAGGTCAAACCTCAGAATTTTCATAAGAGTTAGCGGGTATGCCGCGGGTTGCGAGTCGACCAAAAGTGTTCCATCTTGTTGTTTCGTTATTATTTGGCTTTAAAATTCTATTTCGCCTTTGAGTCACGGGTAATTGCTTCAGCTCAATGAAATTTCTCGGCTTTTGTGCGGGCGGACACAAAGGGAACACAAAGTATTCGTCTAAGCAAGCAAATTTCATTTAAGCCATACTTCAAAGTGAGGCGGGCTGGGGGGTTTAGCCACAACCACAACTGCCAGAGCCACAACAACACCAGAAGAGATGGCCAAAACAGGTGGCAGATAAACCAGTTTTAAGCTTTCCCCATGCGAGAAGGGCCCCACTGACATATTTTGCTGACGGTCGTACGACGCAACCGCATTCTCATATTGAGGCGGACCGACGCATAATCCTTTTAATGAAGCAACTTGGGGAGCTTGTTGCCCCGTTGCCTCGCTATCGTGCAGCAGCAGCGGCAGCCAGGATGCCTGGCTGCCTGGCTGCCTGGCAGCCCCTTTACCTGTTAGCAGCTGCCTTTTTTGCTTTGCCATTGTTGTTCCCTCCGCGGAACTCCGTTGCCGTTTCTGTGGTCGATGCTGCCTGCTGCCTGCTGCTGATGTTGGCCCTTTATTGACATTAATTATAATTAACAAGGTGCAAGGAAATCGACTATTTGGAATCGCCAGCTCCATCGACGTAGATTTCCAGTTGCATCGACTCCCGCCCTCTGGTATATCGAGATTTATCGGTCTCCTGCTGACAGATCCCATACCCCTAGAAGGTGTGCAAAACGATCCCAAATGAAAGATCTCTAGTTCCAGCCATCTCTTTAAATGATTCACATGGCCAATAGGGCCTCATTGGCTTAGTGGGGAGGCTGAGTGCCAGGCATTAAATATTAAATACGACCACGTCCTGCGGTGCGTATGAGTAATTTGGGCAGCGTATGTGCCAGTGCCCCTGCCGAGCCATTAGAACGGAGGCAGAGGGCCGGGCCTCGGCTCTCGACCCTAGTCAATGCGAACCGTTAGCACATCGTGCCGCATGATGATGGGGCACCCCTCACGCCACACGCCACACGCCACCCGCTCCACCCCACCCGAGCTGGCTCCGAGTATAAAATAAGGCATAAAACGGCAGATAATGCCCCACCAGGTTGGTGGCGGCTTTATGGGCCCGCACTTAAAGCAGGGCCCTAAACCAGGGCCCTTCACCTGGCCGAGCCCTGCGTGCTTATCTGATCATTAGCATAAAGTGTGCACCCACCTCCTGGCTGCTGCTGCTGCTGCTCTCCTCCTCGATGCTTGCGGAGTTCGGCGTGGAGTGTTCCTTCTGCTGCTGCTGCTGCTGCTGTTGGCGACTAAGGGCATGCTGGTAGTCCTCCTCCTGCTGGAGCATCTCCTCCCGCAGCTCTTGCACGAGCACCTCTGTCTGCTGCTGTCGCTCGTGCTGGGCGGCCAGCTCTAGCTTGATCTGCTGGAAGTCGCTGCGGATTGTGGCCAGGTCCTCGTAGCCAGCGCTACGCTGCTGCACATCCTTGGCCACGTTGCCGGCGGTGTGCTGCAGCTCTGCCAGCTGTTTGCGGATCTCGGAGATGGCCTGTTGCAGCCACTCGACGGTGAGGCGCTCCTTGTTTCCGCCCTGGGAGCCGCGCAGGCTGGCCACCTCTTCCCTGTGGAATACACAAAATCGAAAGTTCAAGCATTAAAATCTCTCTCTGAAAATACGTTTAATTAGCCACGGAGGCAGCAGCGTGGGCCGTCTGCATAACGTTATAATTGGGGCTCTGTCTGGCCCCATACCCGAAAATCTAATTTAAATTGACATTTTCAAGCGGACAGGCGACCTAATTGCCTTGCGGTCCGCTAATGGGATTTTAGCCGCCATATAATCAAGCTCCAACACTCACTAAATCTCTCTGTACTCCCCCGATCGTTGCATTTTCATGCACATTTTCAATTTCCCATTGCGGAATTAATTCAGTCATGGGCAGACGGCGCCCCACCTCCGGTGCAAATGGAAATCACAGAAGTCATCTAACAGAAAAAAAAGCAAACAAGCAAACAAACTTTAACCAAAAATCCACGAAACGAGCAGAGAGTGGCAGCCACAAATGGCGGCAAGTGCTGGGAAAAACGTTGTTAAAATTTTGATAACAAAAATGTTGTAGCACTTGTGGCAGTTGTAGGCGAAGAAAGAAAAGCTTGAACGCATTTTTGTGGCATTTCAGACAATTAAAGAAGTCAGCTGGAAGGAAGCGGAATAAGCAGCAGCAGCAGCAGGAGTCACCGCAGAAGAAGGGGCAGCAGCACAACAAATTCAAAATTGTAGGAAAAAAGTTTTATTTTGGGCGCAAGCTGCAGCTTCCTTTCCGGCCTTTCCCTGTCCTTCCTGCTCCTCCTCCTGATCCTCTTGTTTTCCTCTGTCAAAAGAGCAAAGCTACATGAAATTTTCATCAAGAAACACAGGACACTAGAACAGGGTAGGGGTGAAAAAAGAAAAGTTGGTCTGGCCTGCTACCGTTCTCTGGTTTGTACATGCACACATAATATTTGGTTGGGATTTTATTTTTGCCTGCGTATACGCAATGCTTCAAATTGTTTCCGTGTGTGTGTGTCTGTTTTTGTTAATTTTATGACTTGGAAAACTTTTGCGATCCATGTGGTAAAAGTTCTGCTACCATTTTTGTGTTATTTTTTATCATAATTACTTAAGTATTTAATTAAAAAGCGGGCGGGAACGTGGAATAATAGAGTGAAAGTGTACAAAAGTTTTACGGGAATAATACAGCTCTAAAACTACCAATTTCCCAATGCTTTGCAAAGTAAACCAAGAGCAGATTCGCTTTTTTTAGCCCGCTCTGTACTCGAAAACAAAGGGTGGAAGTAGAAGAACCCTTACGAATGGAAACTGTTGTAATGTCAAACAAATGGGAACATGCATTGCTTTTTTCGCCTGGCTGCCAAACGGATTTTCCATCAGCCGCACGACGGGAAGAAGATGTAGAAAAACTCCCAAACAGGGCACGTCATTCAGGTGAAAATTGGAAATGCTGTCAATGACAAGCGAGCAAATTGAAAACGCAAAATGCTCCACACAGCAGCACTGCTTGGCTGTGCATGTGTCTGCATCTGTGAATGATTTGATGATGGCTGATGGCATCTGCCTCCACATCCACATTGGATTTCGCATCAGCGTCGCGATTACTGGTCACAATTTAATTACCAAAAGTGAGGGCCCGACTCCGATGCAGGGCTCCAAACAGCCAACTGCGTATGCTATCAAATCTACTCAAGCCAACAGGACACGACAGGACGCACAACATAAAGGACGCTCCACACAGTCGGATCAGAAATTGATGTGTGGGGTGGGGGGGCGCTGCTAGGAACTGGCTTAGTGTGTGGCCAGTGGATCACATAAACCACAGTTGACATGACGTTTGACTGGCGGTTGTCCCGGGAGCGCCTTTCCTCTCTAAATAGCATATACGAGTACGTTTCGTATGTGTGTGCGTGTGCGCGTGTCCTGAATTATTTACGGTGTCACTGACAAAGTTTACGATGTCCACGACAGCAACAACCACGGACTAACCGTAGCTATTTGTACAGTAAATTAAGAGTGTGTTGTGTGCCGTCTTTACGTATTTTTTACGCCGTATACGGGCACCACCAAGGGACAAGAGAGAGTCCAGAGAGGTGGGGGACTGATGAATGTGTGTTCTGCTCGATGAGACAATCATTATTAGTCAGCCTCAGTCCCACGACAACGAAACAAATCACGAATACTACGCAAACTTGGGCTGGGCTTTTGGACAGGCACATGGCTCGTGGCTTGTGGCTCAGCTCTGATTAGATTTCCCAGCCCCTTCCCCCCGACAAGATTTGTTTGCATTAGGAGGAGACGGTCCCTGTTCGTACTTCTTCGCATTCCTTTGGCATTTCGCCCAAGAAACAGACACAAACTTGGACAACTGGAAAAATTTAAACTCAGCGCAACATGAAAACTGTTGCCTATTTTCTAGGGCCACTAATTCCCCCACTAGCTGCAGGTGGGGAAAAAGTTACCCGACGAAGTTCTGCGTGACTCCGGGTCTCGGGGACTCGCGGAAAGTTGGTTCAAAGTTCTCCCTCTGGGGCCACAAATTAATGGCAAGACATTGACCAACTGCACGGGCTCCTAATTAACAATTCAAATGCAATTTAGAGTTCTCCCCTAGAACGGAGACATGGAATGGTTTTAATGATCATCCATCCTACCTGAGTTTGTTCAGCTCCGTCCGCATATCGGCATCAGCGCTGGCCGCGTCCGTGGTGAGCCTCAGGGATTTGCGGAGATTGTGCTCGAGCATCTCGTAATCCTCGCGGCGCCGCATCATCAGGGCATTGAGCTGCTTGGAGAGCAGGCGCACCTGATCGCCCAGCTTGATGGGGGAGGTGGAGTCCGGGGTCTGCGGCAGGGTCTGTCCGCTGGAGAGCATTTCCAGGGAGCCGAGGCTGTCGTCCTCGCTATCCTCGCCCTCTTCGGCATCCTCCACGAAGCGCAGCAGCTCCACACTGGAGGGCACTGCCTGCTCCTTCTTGTTCTTTGCCCTCGCAGGGTTCTCCGAGGTGGCTCGGGCGGCATCACGCAACATGTTGTTCACGTCGCTGAGCACCACGCCGGCGGTGGCAGCTCCAACCGCGGGACAGCTCAGAGCCGCCGCCAATAGAATTAGCCGCAAAATGTTTGGGGCAGCCATTGTTGCAGGGGCAATTTAAATGCTTATTTATGCGAAACTTTCTCTTTCTTCTTCTGGTCTCTGAAATGTCTGGCAATTTCTCATTCACACCGCGAAAAAAACTCGGAGTCAGACGTGGAATTTATGCAAATGGCTCTCACGCATGCCGACACAAACGACTTTCGGTTGGGGTAGGGTTGGGGCCGGGGAGACGCTTGGGGAGGGGCGTGAAAGTTAAACACCCTATAAAGGCGCTGGCAAACAATGTTACAATTATTCCTGCCGCCTAACCCGCACTTGTTTCGCTCTGCTTTGCACTTTGGGACACCCGAATCGAGGCGCAACGAAGTCCACGGAAACCAAATTACTGTACTCTTCACTCGCTTCACTCTTAATGTGTACGGTGAATGGTATGTGGGGTCTGCTCCAAGACAAACGAGGTTGACAGCGCGGCGGTCGTCGAAGGACTTAGGCGCCGCGTCGTCGGCTCTGCCTTTTATACGCGGCTGGTTCGTGTCCGAAGCGGGGCGCACGAAGCCAGGCTTCGGGTGGAGGCTAAGAGAGCCGAACCCGAGAGAGAAGTTACGGTTGAAGAGCATGCAACAAGCAGCAGTGTTCGGTTAGTGCCAAGGTGTATTTAATCGAGGGCTGGCATTTGCACAGAGAGCGCCTGTTCCGGCTCAACGACAGTTGGCGACTCGAAGAGCGGAAATTTAGGAATACACCTTTTGAGTGTTCGTCCCGGAACAACCGATTCCATGATGCGTGGCGAAGAGAGCAGCTGCTGGCACACTTAAGAGAGAGGCGAGAAGAGCAAAGCAATCTAACTGCGAAACAGGAGATTCTCATCTCTATCATGATCTGTAGAGTATCTCCCGTGCGGATTCACCTTCAAGGCTTCCAGCCAGACCTAGCCAAAGTAAGCAAAAATGGCGTTTGCATATGGCTCGTTCCTGGTCGTCCTGCTGCTTCTCCTGTTCCTGCTTCTGACACATGGCGCCCTTGCGGTGAATCAACATTCAGACAGGACAGCAACTGCAGCCGCAGCAGCAAACGGCAGATGTTAGGCCCCTGCCCCATAGGCAGACGTAAAAGTGCGAAAACATGTTGGAGCGCGGCGTTGGAGTGCGCGGGGGCAGGGGAATGGTCTTTGGCCAGGTCCAAGCAGAGCTGGGAACACAATGTAAAGTGGTAACATGAAATACCAGGCTGTGGCTGAAATGTACGAGATCTTTATAATAAAGTTTGAAATAAAGATTTGTTGGGACAGAGGTAAGTGTCTTTGGGTCCCGTCCATCTGAATAGGACCTCCTGCTCAAGAATCTACTTATACACTCCCTTACTTTATGGGGCTTTGCACTCCAGCTTCAAAATCAAGAGATATTCCATAATTCTCTATTGATTTCTGTCCCATACCTTGTCTCTCCAGTTTTGACCGCAACCATTTCTGATGTGCCCCAAGTTCTCTTTCATTCCTGCGGCAATCTCTATTTTTCTGGTTTTTCTTTTTTCGTTGTTGTCAGAATGGATTGTTATCCTGGCAAGGATTAGTGGATGGCCAGATGTTCTCTTTTTCTAGTCAGTTTCAGCCATAAAAGCCGGAAAAGCTTTAAAGTGCAAAATAGGAATGCAGTTGAAGTCATTCGACAAAAAAGCGAGCAAAATGCCCAAAATGATAGGCTCGGGGCAGCAACATTGTTGCAATGGAGCTGTGTTGTCGGAAGTGTTGCAAAAAATATGCCAGAAATGGTGCCTTACGCACTGAAAAAGCGTTGCGCGCTATGCATTCTTTTATTTCTCCTACCTATAAATGGTGTAGGCATGGTATGGGGGGTCAGCTGAATGGAATCCGCGCATCGCTGCGCACAGATAGGAGTCGGGTCGGGTCGCCTCGGATCGGGTTGAGGCGAGTCCAGTAAGGGACTGCCATTTTTGCCACTTGCATGAGCTGCAAAGCAATTTGCAATATTTTTTCGCTTTCGGTTTTACTTTTTAATGTACTTGTATGGGTCACGGCATGGGGTAGGGCATTGGTACGGGTACGGGTACGGGTACGGTACGTGCTCTTGGACAACCCCTTTTGTGGTGGCCATCATCAATGGATGCATAATCAAGCGCTGACCACATGGCTATCTGGTCGGTCCCCCTTCGGTCTCCTCGGAGCTGTTTGCATATTTTGAGTGGACGCAGTTTAGTTTTTAATTTGATGCCTTTGTTTACTGTCATTCTGTTCTAGCTTGTTGCACACTGCCACTGCCACTGGCAGGGGTGGGGAAGTTGCAGCAGGGTGGTTCACCTGGGAGTGGTTGCTGCCGCCATTTGCATGGCTCCCTTCTCGGCCGTTACCCCTACCCCCACCCCTTTCACATTTGTTTCATTGTCGCCCGTTATTGTTGGCTCCTATGCTCTCTCCGGCCTGGCTGAGAATGGCCTGGAATGGCTCGCTCTATGGTCAGCACATTAAGGTAATGGCCTGGAAAGTCCGACTGGTCTGTTGGCAAGAGTCGAGTCCCTCTAGCATTTGCACTCATATTCGATGGAGATCCTCAACCTTATCCCAATTGGATGGCACCGGGCACCTCTTATGCTGGTTCCACAATCAATGCCGCCTCGATGTGGACGAGACAGTGGGGGCAGCAGGTGTCTCTGGCCGCTGACCAATCCATTCCATTCCACTCCACTCCTTTCCCTCCCAAATGATGAGGGCTCATCAAGCGGCCCAGAGCCATTGTCAGTCAAGCAGCACACACGAGCCGAGTCGACTCGAGCCCTGGACAGGTTCCAGTTCTGTGGCATGCAAGCAAAACTCAAAAGCGAGCACGCGATTATTTAGCCCAGCGACAGTTTTGTTGAAGCAATTGAAAGTGCACTGGAAGCTATAAATTATGTGCATCCTCAAGATGGAAAACAACGGAACTGCTGAGATCTATGAGGGATTTGAGACGGAACGGATGATTCTATAGTTAATAATTCCTAATGAGGTGTCCCTGCTTTCATAAGTATGATACTGCTTCGTCTGTTTTTCTGCCAGTGTACCCAAAAAATACAGAAATACGTGCATGTCTCTCATAAAGGAGTCTCGAGAACGCTGCGCAGGCGCAGTTCCAGGCTGCGCACTAATCATCTGGCTGACAACTGCAACAAGAGCCAAAAACAACAACAACAACAGCGTTAAGGAAAGCAACAGCTGAGGATGAGGCACAAGCACAAGCAAAGGCAAACCGGCTGCCGCTGCTGCTGCTGACGGCAGCAGACTAACGGCAGGTGCAAAACATTTACCACTCGAACGAAAATTTCCTACCTGATTTAATCTGCTGTTGTTGCTGCTTCTCGCGTTGCTTATTCTTGTCCCTCTTGTTCTTCCTTGCCTCCTTTCTACTGTTCCAGGCTGTTGCTGTTCCTTGCTTTTGCTGTTGTTGCTGTTGTCTGCGTTGCCAAGGCTTCGTTACGTGTCGTTTCAACTAGTTGTACTCGGGGCATAGCGTGCCATGTTGCTCCATGCTCCACTGATCACACACACACACACACGCAGGCACAAGCCTCAGAACAAGAACAGACACGTCGCTATCACTCAAGGCTGTTGCTGTTGATGCACGGCTGCCTTCACTTTTCGCCGTTTCTCTCCCACTTTGGTTTCTCTTTGCCTTTGACTTTTCCCAACAGCAACAAACATTAAAACGAAGAGAGGAATGGCATCCCAACTACAAGACACCCTCTACCCAGGAGCTGCATATCTATGCAAGAGCTAGATCTATGTATTTAAGAGCTCCATCTCCGTATATAAATGTTCATTCCGACGGACTATATACTATATTATATATTTATGTATGTATCTGCTGCATCGGTCATGTTTTCTTATTCCCTTTACAAATTTGTACAAACCGCTCCATTAATTTGGTATACCCTTTTACTCAACGTGTACGGGGTCCGCCGACGCACCAGTAGCAGAAGCGCAGCCTGTGGTCTCATCTTGGCTTTGCTTTCTGCGCTCTTTCTTTTGTAAGAGAGACCGGCATCGAGCGGGCACGCATTGACGGGCCATAAAAACAATCCCTACGAGCAGTCCACAAACAGTGGGAGGGGAGCTAATGGTCACAAACAAAGACGAGGCTGGAGAAGGACAAGTAGAAGAAGCAGCGACAGCTGCAGGGACAGCTACATCTGCATCCCACAAGCAGCGCAGCACAAATGCAGTCCAGGCCAGAGCAGTGCAGAAATGGGCGGAACGGAACGGGACAAAGCAGTATCCTAGAATGTTTTGTGACGTCGCAGCTGTCATCCCTCCGCCTAGCCTTTGTGACGATTCAACAGATTTTCGGTTTTCGGATTTCAGACGGTGCCTCATAGTACTTCGGCAGTGCTTTCAAATTGGTTAATAGACAGGTCGAAGTAGAGCAGAGCGCTCGGCACGAAACTGTTGCCGTGCCGCTTGTGCCGTGCACTTCTCCCCCCCTCCCTCCCACTGACTGAAGGACAAACAATGCAGGAGTCATATGAGTATGTGTGCGAGTGCGTGTGCGTATGAGCATGGAAGATGCCAGGCCGTGCAGCTGTCAATACCGACACCCCTCTGGGATTCTCGTTTGGACCTACGGCAGACACTGATATCGAATTCTGAGATGTGTCAGATTTGGGAATGACGGCCTCAGTCCATTCAGGCAGGGCCTGAATCTGTGCACATACGAGTATGTACGTAGACGGTAGTTAGTAGAGTCAGTAGAAGTTAAAGTAGACTTTAAACTAGCCTTCCGTTTGGTTTTGTGCTTTTACCAAATACTCGTACACCTATTCTCGGATCTAAAGAAATATCTAAAAACAAGGCTATCCTCATGGTTCTATTCACAGACTGAATCACACAACAAATATTCTCTTTGGGTTTCCTTTGGTGTCGCCAAGACATAACGTATCTTTTAACTGCAGATTTGATATCCTTTTGCTTCCGTGAACGGTTTTCGCATTTCCAACACACTCTTTAAGACCTTAAGACCTTTAAGACAGCATCTATAACCTTCAATTAGAGCCAAGTCGGGGCCAATGACAAAGCACTTAAGACCTGAACTTACTCAGGGGCACATTCCGTATAACAGATGAAGGGAGGTCAGATCCCTGGTATTTAAGCAATTAGCACTTTTACAGCTTTTTCCATTTAAATCACAAGCCTCGCTGCCACATCTGGGATCAGCCGAAAACGAAAAACATTTCGAAAGAGTTAATAACAAGCTGTAAACAATGCCAAGTCCCTCAGCCCCCTGCAGCCCTTCAGAGTCCCTGCAATCGTCGTCGAAATATTGAAAAAAAGAGGAAAGAAAAACAACAAAAAACGTCCCTGTTGCTGTTTCTGATGCTGTGTGCAATGCACAGATGTCGCTCAGATTACGAACTTAATTGCCCCAGTGC